AGGTTGCATGGCTGAAACGATGAATGAAAAATGTTTCCAGAATTCTTTTGGCATAGTGGAGAGACCAATAGTACAAAGCATATGTTTGAACAGGATGTATGACACGTTCCCCTTTGTAACCAAAGTATTGGTAAACGGGAAAGAAGTAAAATACAGGATAGAGAACCAGAGGACCAAGGTACTCCCAGAAGAAGAGAGTGCGATAAGAAACTTGCGGACCCAGATCCTTGAAAACTACAGTTAAGTTGTCCGAGTTTCCATCACAGTAGTCTTTCAGGCTCTTCTTATAGTTAAGGACAACAGGCCTCTCCTTCGATCCGGCTGGGAGAGGGAGGGTCAGTCTTTGTCTTGAAGAGTAGAACTTTTTCGCTGTTGATAAGTAAAACCCAACACATATTGTTGAATCAAATGAGATTAAGAGGCTTCTAACATTCAAACACACATCTTTTGGAAGCCAGATCATATAAGTAAATCACAATAGGCAGAGACAAAGCTAAGTCCATTACGGTTAGCCTTTGAATATGAAAACTGACCTGAGTGAATGATAAATTAAAAAAAAAAAAAAAAAGTTCAAAATACAGTTTTAGGTTAGAGTCTCTTTCATTTACCATCTTCACAATTGGCTCCATATTCAACAATGCAGTCCATCATTGACAATTTTCAAGAAGTGTGCATGCATTAACACAAAACCAAACGATAGCAGAACAAGGAATTTTAGAGCAGTCAATGATTTAAAGACCAAAAATTAAAAAAAAAAGTTTTTTGCATTCGTTTATAGTCAGAAGACTTAGCACCAAATAACATAAGAACTTTAACAAAAACTTATAGATATTAGTTCCAGGGAACTACTTTTACAAATAATCAAGCGCATATATATATACAAGGCTACATAAATAGCAAAAATCTAAAAGTATCACTAGGTAACAAGCCAAAAGAAAATCAATAACATCATAAGCATATCCAGCACTTACTTCTCTTATGAATTGCCTCCTGGAGATCTGCCACAGTAGCCTGGAAACAAACAAAATTGATTTACAATTACAATTCATAAGCCTACACTGTATCCACAATCAAATTTTCTTTCCTTTCCGTCCATTTTATGACCGCACAAACAAGGAATTTTTCTTGAGAAATTCACAAGAAATTAATTGAATCAATCCAAGTTCATCACTTTCTTCCTTCTTCTCCAATTTCCTAAGCAGCCATAACGAATAAAAGCTTTAAAAAAAGAAAGAAATCTAAGAAACGAAATACACATACAGAATCACTGAGCTGAAGGCCACCCTTGATTACTTCTCTTCCACTGCGCGAAACCACAGTGATCTTCATTTTCTAAATCGAAAGGAGAGAGACCCAGATAACCAAATGCTTCAAGCAAGAAACCCTTTAAACTGCGTAGAATTTCGAGCAAGATTCAGCAGAGATGGGAGTGAATTGAGATCTTAAAATGGGTAAGCACTTAAAACCACAGTAGGGCGCCGTTTGGGAGATGACATTAAAGGAGTGTAGGTGGGGTAGGAGAACCAACAAAATAAACCGATGAACCATACGTTCCCTAAACTAGTATGCCTTTCATCACTAGCTTAATAGTGGGCCACACCTTTAACTGTCCATGGAAAATTTATTTCAAGAACTTCTTTAAGACAAATTACCTTAACCCAAACTAACAACAAGGATGGACGCAATTGGATTCTTCCATAAATTTCCCATTTCCCAACTAAATTTATTGGTTTATTTTGAATATAAATTAAATTTAAAATTAAAGTACATTAGAACTTCAAATTTATAAATATTTGAATTTATTGACAAATTAATGTTATCTTTTAAATAATTTTCCCAGAGAAAAATTTAAAAATTTTGGTGAACAACCAATTAACATTGATAAAATTAAATGTTGAAAGTACATGTTCCTAATTCCTAAATACACCTTTGTGACATTTAACAGAAATGGTTTACTTAAAAGTAGGATTTTGATAGCTATTTTTTAGCTGTTTATTTTTCATTTTCAAAGCAATTAAGAGATCATGCATGTCCCATTGATGCGCATTCTTGTAATTATCGATTTCATTAAAAAAATTATATTATGTATATTGTATTCTCCGTAAATAAATAATTGTAAATATAAACAGGAGACAATATGATATTTTAATAAAAAGATATATAAAAATTATATTATATGGTCTTTTTTCTATATTACTACTTTATTTTTTATATGATTTTTCTTTTCTTTTTCTTTTTTTTTGTTAATGAGCTTTATTAGATGATTTAGTATAACTAGAGGTTTGTTCTATACATTTTTTTATATATAATTTATGAGTAATTTTTGTATCTCTAAAATATGCTTTACGAAATTATACTCAGATTGTAGAAGGGGGTAAGAAATACACCTTGACTATCCCTTGTTGTGTTTCTTTTGACTGGCTTGATTCATGTTTTTCTTGAAATTCAATGGTATTTACCAGCTACCAATCTAGTCCGTAATACAATAAAATGAATTTCCAACATGCAAGGGTCGGTAACATTTGTTAATAATAGAGATAATGGAAAAATCATAACATAGTTAAAAAGAGAAAAGTAAAAGATAAATGCATTTACTATTTCTTCTCAGAATGCTGCTGCTTGTCTCCATCAACACTTTCAACTGAAGGTAGAGTCTATATAAACAACAACAAGAAAACCCAATTAAAGAATTTGGAATTATCAGTAAAATTATAACCAAACATGTTAATGGAGGATTTCTCATCAGTCTCGAAAATGTAAAACAATCACAGAAGTTCATTTTGGTCTGAAGCAAGTATTTCATATGCGTACGCTAGTTTTAAGGTTAAATTTCTTTGAACCATGAAAATATTTTTGATGAATTCTCTGATCCTTGTGTAGATGGCTTGATACTAACTGAATTAAATTGAAAAGAGTTTTAAGATAATTATATAAAAGTTGGTACATGAATACTTGACCGCTAATATATAGTACTCCAAGATTGAAATAATACTAACTTTACCTATGTTTCAAACCTATTCTATTTTTATTCAATTACTATATTTTAATAACCCAATATGAAGAAATCAGTTCTAGTTTATACATTTAATGTATAAATAAATCAACCTTATTCATAAATTCAAACTCATATATTCAATACCCAATATGTAGAATGCTCATTTCATTCAAATTTTCATCCAAGAAATTGTTTTCATATTTATATTCTATAATGAAGAAATCCCAGCCTAAAAAACAAAACCCTCATAAAAAAAATTTCTAACGAGCATTTCATCGAACACCTTAAGAACAATCACAAAATTCAGTAGATTCAATCTGAGAATCTTAACAAAAAACTGGTGGGTATTAAATCATTAAAAGCACGTTCAGAATAATTTAAAGAAAACAAAAAACCCAATTAACAGTTTCTCTCAGAAATTTAACCGAACAGTTTACGGGCATTGGAAGAATCTAATAAAACTTCAAAAAGAGAACTTAATTCAGAAATATAGGTATCAAAAAAATGCAAAAGAGATTGAATAGAGATATGAAAGAGAAGTGAGAGATGTTACAAGATCAGGCTTGTAAATGTTGTGGACAAGAGAAGCACCAGCAAGAAGCGAAGCTATGACGACAACGCATGACCAAGAAAGCGATGGCGTTCCAGTCGGCTGCCTTCCTCCAAATTTTCTATTCATTTTTTATGTCTCACTTTAATCCACAACACTAATTCATTCAGCTATCGCCGACTTGTAGCTTCCAGACTATCAATGTGAACGAACAGAGAAAATTAGTTTTTAAATAAACAAATATATACATGTATTTTTCTATATTAATTTTGTAGTTTAGAATTTTATCGTCAGAATATTATATATAATAATTAAATTTAAATTGTAAATATAAAATAATATTGTAAGTAAAAATTTATTTATCATAATAATAATAATTAGATGTATTCAAATTCAGTAGTAAGTAGAAGTTATTAGATACCACTCCTCCCTTTTTCCTTTTCTTTTTCTTCATTTTTTTTTAATCTCTTCCATCATATTTTATTTTATAAATTTTTTTGGTCATACCAAACTATTTTCTTTTGGACAAAAGTTTCTTCGATTATTTGACACCTAAATACGAAATTGTATTGAAAGCCTTGACTCGTGTCTTGAGAGGAAGATTTGCTTCAATTGTTTCTCTTACCTTCGTCTTTTCTCGAGTTAACTTCCATTATTTCAAGAGTTTGCTGAACTTCTTGTGAATCGATGTCATTATTTTTTTTAATATCACTTATTAAAATAATAATTTTATTATTGTTAACTATTGATCATTTATAACAATTTGCACATTAATAGTAACACAATAAATTTTAACATCGGCGTGTGCATAAATTGTTAATATAAAATACTTAGCTTTTCAACCACCTTGATTTACCGAGGAGATTTCTGAAAGTTTACCACAGCGTGTGTTCACCTCCCAATCAATAATAATGGGTTTAAACTTGCTGCTTCTTTTTTTGCCTATTCAAACGCATTGATTTATGGTGTCTTTTACACCCAGATTATACAGAGTTCTTTTAATTCCTTTCCTTCCTCTGTGCGTATATATATATATTATATGTATAGATATCATCTCTACCTGCAACCTTCTTGTCTTTTTATTTAGGTGATTAATATAATTATCTTCTCTTCTTGGTAGATGCATGTTAAACTGCGGAGGCGATCATTCAGCTTAAAGGGACTGAAATGGATAATTCACAACAGGTAAATATATATGTGTTTTAATTATATTATCTCGCATACACCAATAAATAATAAACATATTGTTAATAATATATATGGTGTTATATTATATTTTCTCTTCTTGATCTTGATTAGTAGTTAGTCAACTTAGTTATACTATATTATGATGTTAATTAATTTACTTAATATACTCGGAACTTATGTTATATGAAGATTTCAAAACAATCTAATTGTTATTGTTATATTTCATACATTGCAGTTCCATGAATAGGCAAGCGCGTAGAGAAGCATTACTGCAACCCTACACATGTGATGGTTGCAAAGAGGAAGGATTTTGGTCAAGATATCATTGCAAAGCTTGTGACTGTGATCTTCATGAACCTTGTGCATTCCCCAACTCAATAACTCACCATAAACCTTTTGAAGAATCAACAATCACATTTTCTAGGAAATCTCCTACACATAACTGTAATAAGCATAATTGCAAAAAAGATTATGACATGTATTGTGATGCGTGTACAAAACCTATAAAAGGTTATGCATACCAATGCAAAGAAAAGAAATTTGATTTACATCCATGTTGCATGAACCTCAAGTATGAACTAAACATTCATGGAACAAAATTTCAACTTAAAAAAAGTGAGAATGCTTCAGAAAAATTGTGCATGTGGTGTGATAAAAGAAAGGTCAAGGCTAAAGGTTGCTACTCAAGTGTTGAAGGATTGTCTTATGTGCCTGAAAGTGAAGATTTCCAACTTTCTTTATATGCATTGTGTTAACGAGTTGATCCTCGCATCATTGGAAAAAAATGGAGGAAATGGTAAAGCATGGAGGGAGAACACTAAGAATAACAATGAGGATAATGATGATAATGATTGTTTGGTTCTCGAGAAACTTGAAATTTCTATTTCAACATCTGAAAAGATATAAAAAGGGTGCTAAATTGTGGAATAACATCCAAAATTAATGTTTAAAACCATTACATACGTTCTACACGATGATCCAACTATAACTCTTTATATCTCTCTTTGTGGATTTGCTTATATAAATCATTAATGAATGTTGTATTTTTATTTCTAGTAGATAAATTAGGATTATAAGGAATTGATTATGGATTTTGGTTTCAATTTGGGGGGTTTTGAGATTAGGACAATTAAGCTATATCTGAAACCATATCATTTAATTGGAAATTTTGAAATTTTGGATATTTGGATCATATTTTTCTATAGTGGTAGTTGACTTCAAATTTGGATTTGATTCAAGAAATTGATTTGGGCTTTAAATTATGTTTAAAATTAAACCCAAAAACAATTGATTATGGGCATTGAGGACCTATTTTGAAATAGAAGTTTTATATGGTATTCTTAATATATATATATATATATATAAATATATATCCCCTTCAAAAAATTCTGCTCCAACCACTTGTATTTAACTATCAAGAAAAGATATTGTAAATAAGCAATTAACAAATTGATTATCAGTATGTTGGTAAGAAATTAAACTTCTAACACCCATATGAACACACGCCAACAATCACAATGTATTAATATGATTCAAACCTGTTATGACATATATAAATTAACAACCGATTAGTATTAATTAATTAATTATTGATTCGCTTAAGAAGTGCATAGGAAGAGAGAGATTGGATATGTTATTACCGTATGGTAACATACATAAATTAACAACCAATGGTAGAGCATATGATTCGCTTAAAAACTTTGCACTGATTATATATGTATACATGCATATCTATGTATACATACGTAGAAATCAAAGAGCAAGTGTCCTTGACCAGCTATAACGTGATTTCCATTTGAAAAGTGGCATAATGTGAATCCAACTTGCCAGATTGTGTAGGCCAAATCGCAGCCAACATACAACTTTGTGTAAACTTACATCAATAAATTAAATACATATATAATATGATATACTTTATTCTGCATGGGAAAGATATATAATTGTTAAAACTGTATATACAAAATAAAATCATACACGACCAATAACTTTTAAGTAAAATTTTGAGAACTGATACTTTAAGTCTGAAAAGCTAGTGAGGTAATGTTGTTTGGATTCTTCAAAACCTTATAATTATTGAACTGTATATATAAAAGATGAACTCATATATTATTAATAATTTGAATTTAAAATTTTAAAGGTAGATGGGTTACCTCCGGAAGTTATTAATCACTGATGTTTGAATTTAGTACATAATATATTTGTGTTTGTATAATATATGTATATATTATGTGTATGTATAAAAAATTATAGTAGATACCAATAGAGATAGATGTCACTGAATCGAACCTTATGGACAACAACAAGATCGCTGGTGAGAGTGACTTTTAAGGATGTTTTGTTGGTGATGAGGATGATGATTGATCACTAAATTTTGAAAATTATTCTTTGCAAAGACACTTCAAAGTGAATTTAGAACTCTATGAAGAGAAAGTATCAAGGGACAACAAAAGCAAGACGAGTAGAGAAATTCAAGTTTTTTGTGCTTATTTCAAGACGTTAGACATGAAGATGGGAGAATTAGTTTTAAATCATTTCTCAAGAGTCATGCCAAATGCAAGTAAGATGTGCATTTATGGTAAAAAAAACCTGGAAGATGTAACTACTGCTGAAAAAAATACTTTGTTTTATGACAATAAAATTCAATTATATTGTTTGTTCTATTAAAGAATCTAAAAACACCGAAAAACTTTTGATCGATAAATTGTACAGTTTTTTAATAATTCACAAATAGAAAATGAAATAACATGACTAAAAGGAGCAATATCTACAATTTCATATAATAATCAGTCTATAACACCAAAAAGATATGGTCGAAAAAAAGGAAAGCACATATCAACAATTATAGTAGAAACTCACTCCAGAAATATGAAGATAATTAGTATTCTCATATTCGAAAAAAATAAAAAGTTCATGACAACAATTATACAACTCATTCAAAGCCAAAGTCAACAGACAAATCTAAAATTGGATGTTACGAATGTAGTAATCATATATGTAGGAACAAGTTATTATTCTTTACTCAAGATGAGTAATACCGAGATACAATAAAATTTAGAGACAACTTTAAAGTCTCAGTCATATAAAAATGATAAATGACTATTCAAATAAAAAAATAATATAATTCAAACATATTCTGATATATTTTATGTTATATATTTAAAAACGAGTCTTATAAGTCTCAGTCAATTACAAGAGAAAATATATGAGATTCTTATTAAAAATGTAGTATGTCATGTCTAGGATTATAATATATGCTTAATTGCTCAAATTAAAATGACTACTAAAAACATGTTTCATTTCTATCTCAATAACATAAAACAATCATGTTTCTCAATAAGGTAAAGAGATAAAATTTGGATG